GGCTGTTGTCAGGTTAATGGGTCCCCACTATCTTTCCGGTTTTTAATAATGCGTTGGACAGTTCTTAACCCAATTTTAGTAGTTTCTGCAATCTCTTTAGATGTTTTCTCTGCTTGATGCGTGCCAATGATTTGACCCTTCTCAAACAGACTAACATCTTTTCCACAACCACGGGATGTGTCTTGTTTAGGAAATGAGAAGCAAGTCATTGCACCAGTTGGGGTTAAATAACTTGTTGCCAGCTGAAAGATAATCGCCCATGCAGTAATTATCCAATAGGAGGTTCGTACCTATTTGTTTAGTTGAATCCAGGTGGCGACTTTTTTTTTGGCCAGGCAGTGTATAAAGGTGTCTTGCTTCTTTGTTTTTCACGTGGGCTTGTTGTCAACAAAAGTCCACCTGGATTTATATCATTAACGGAAGGATGCTAGCATTACCCTGCTTTGGTATCACCACTCCTGTCTCTATTGCACTAAATGTTCCACCAATCAGGGATTAACCTGCAGCCTATCAATGATTGTTAGTGCTTTTTTACCCGTTGTGTCATAGATCAGGAAAATGGTAGTAAAGGAACAATGGCTAACTGCTACTGTTGCTAACACTGCATCCACATGAACATGCACACAAGTCAATCTCTTGTGCTTACACTTGTGAGACAAAAAAGGGTATAAAAAAAGAGTGAATGAGCTCCATTTAATTATTTTACTTATAAAATACCATTTCATGATGCTTTAATGCTAGTGAGTAGTTATGTTAAAGCACAATGAGGTGGGCTCAAGTTTTGTTTTAGTTTTTGCCAAAATTACTGGAATTATCTGCTCTTTTTCAGACCTTCTATAAAAACATAGCTTCAGGCCTTATGTGGAAAAACGTATATGTGCAAAATCAATGCAAGAATGATTAATGTAGACAAGACATTAACCTCCCTACTATAAAACTATAATCACAGACCTTAAGGAGCTCAGAGGAAATGGGTCTACAAGGAGCCAACATATACCCTCACAGCAGGAGGCTGAGTGACCGCTAAATGACGTTAACCAGATGTCGCTGTCAGGACATCTTAGACAGGAGAGGAGACAAGAAAGCATAAGAAAGTTGGTAGAAAACTCAACTTTTCAGCTAATGAAGTGCAGCAGGAAGATAAACTGTTTGCAGCAGACAGAGGCGTGGGTTCGTCTGTCTGGATCGCCCTGAGTGGGAGCTGAGCCAAAACATGTGGACCGACTGAGTCCGAGCTCTACTGCAGTCATATACACACATCCATACGCAGACATAATGTGATATAACTACTCACATCCTGCACATTCTTTAGTATAAAGCTAGACTATATCCCACTGCCATGCAGGCCACACGACTTTGTGACTTCATCAGATCCGCCACTCATGCAGAAAGTTCCCCAATATTCTTCATCACGCTCAGCGTCACAGGACCATCAAGGAGAAAGAAGAGGAGATGGGCCAGAGGAGTCTTTATGGGTTTTATTTGGAAACCTGAGTCCCTGCCGGTAATTGGCCACAATGACTGTAATCATAAGTGATGGTCTGGTTTTCTACTTTGCCTGCGGAAATTTCCACAATAATGGGGCTTTGGTGAGTCTGTTAGAAGGATGTAGTTAAACACACACTTTATCCATCAGAACAGGTCCTGTTTTCCATCCTGCTGTTATTCGGCTGTGCTGCGTTCGTGTGGTTTTGATCTCTGTGTGTTTTAGGTTGTGTATCGGTTTATGTTGGTTATTTAGGACTCTTCTTTGGAAGAGACACCTACTTTCTTTAGAGCCATGGGTTTGTGGGGACCTAAGCCTGGTCCTATGAAGGTCAGCGTCAGGGTTAGAGCGTGAATGCAGTTTAGAAGTTTAGGTTAGGTATGTAGCAGGAATAAATGTAATAAGAAGGAGTAATTAGATAATGAAAACATTGGTTTAATTGGATGCATTTAAGTGTGTGGGTTCTGGCTTTCACATTGGGTAATAAGTTAAATGAGCAGCAACAATTATCAACCGCCTGCAGGTTGTCAGAATCACCTCTTCCTTGATGTAAATCAAGGAATAGGGGGAAAAAATCAGTTGGCTCACACAAAAATAGGCAACAAAATAAAAATAAAAGAAAATAACAGGCGACTTTTGCACTCCAGCTTGTTTAGCAGGTTTTAACTGAAGCCCAACCCAAAAACATGTTTTAACAGGAAAAAGTCAAATTAACAGGTGAAGAAACCTTCAACTAGAAACCCTCTGCTTCTGTTTAAGGGTCCACTAGTTAATAATAAAGGGTTGTGTTGTTCTTATACCTATTGTTGTTGACTATTTTTCAAACCATTTTAATACTCCACACCACAAAATGAGAAATAAAGGTATGAATGATTCATGCTCATATTGTATCAATTATTGTTCAATACTGAACGCTGTAATATCATTATTGTACCGGAAATTAAAAAGCTGTATCAGGATAGCCCTGTTATATATGAAACGTAAGTAAAAACATATATACATAAACTTAAAAGAGGAGGGGAAAAAGTGGTGGTTTAACACAATTTAGTTGTTAAACTGCAAATTTAGTGTGGTATGTTTCTCATTTCACCAGCCACAACTGAGTAAAACCAGACTCTGGGTTATTTTCCAAACACAGTGAGCCGGTTCAGTCAAGTAAAGACCAAAAAAAAGGAAAAGTCTGTCTGGTATTACATTTTTTTTAATACTGCACTGATGTGTGGTTTTGCTGAAATTTGTGTTACTGAATGAGTTCCTTGCTAAAAGGTCCGTACCTGGCTCGTGGCCCGCTCCGGTGGCCAGGGCAGGCATGTTTCCTGCCGACAGCTTCCTGGTTCCCCTCAGGGTGTGGAAAATGGCAGCAGCGTGTCAGGGTGTCAGAGCTGCTCCACAGAAAGCCCAGAGAGCAGCTGGATCTGAAGACGGCCTTTATGCCATGGAGCCCTGCGAGGAAACAAGAGTCTGTTTGTCACATAAGCCAGTCAAAAATTGACCGTGTGCATCAGGAAGTTCAAAGCAGACTCCGGCTGTTTACATTCCTACATGTTTAAGACGTTATTCAATGTCCTGCAGAAACATGGAGAACTGCTTCCACTGATGAGAAGGAAGGAAATGCAACAAACTTAGAAAAGTTCCTACAGAAATGGAAACAAGACAGTTACACTTGATTATTGTGGCTAAATTGGAAAGTTTCTGATTGGAGATAGATGGAGGAGACTGATCATAGTTTGATTCACTGGGTTGCCTAAAATAGCAACATACAAGAAAATAACCAAGTTATTCCATCCAGCTACAGTCATGCAACCAGCAGGAAGAGTATGTGGCAAAGAGGAATGGAAAAATGGACATCAGGTTCTTTGCACCATGCAACTTAATGGTCCATTATATGTCTAATCCCAAATTCAGGGGGCCATCTGAGCTGGAAGGCCTTGGGGTCCTTTGAAGATTTCACAACATAGGGAAAGGAGTGCAGCTGACCCAAAAACCACATGTATAAAAAGGAACATCCCGAAGAACTGCATCATTTCAAGTCCTTTGGATCAATTTCTGTATCATATTTGAGGTCCTAGGGTTCTGTTTTATAAGAAGCACCTGGTTAATCCAGTCCAGAGGATGTGATGGAGTCAGTGGGTTGTTCTGGACTGAGATGTGCAAAGTATGGAGGAATCATCAAACATCACACTAGTGCTGATCCGTTTTCCAACAGAAGGGAGATCTGAGATCTACATCTGGCTACAACTGCATGCTAGCACCAGTTTTTAGGCCTAAAACTTCTGACTTAAATGCTGTTTAGCATTTTCTATTGTTAGGATAATTATCACTGATGACGTCTAAGTTTATTACACCTTAATATTAGCTGCCTGTTGCATGTCAGAACTGATGTTTTCTCCAATACTTGATCTAATTAGGACAGTTTCTCTGTCTGGATATACAGTTATACTCTTCATTCTGTACGTGGCAAAGATTTGGGAATAGAATGAGAGTGGTGTCCTGCAGCTAAAAACAAAGTTTAATATTTTTAAAAGGGTGGAGCCATGGATGTCTCCTTATCTGCTTAGGTGTGTGACATAAAATGTGACGATGTGGCAGACTGGAGATGTATAAAATGCCTTTTTAACTTTTGGTGAGGTGAGCCCAGGGGTAAGCAGCTGCCTTCTGTAATTCTGAGCAACTTCTCTGATCTGAGTAAGATTATAATTTCTATCAAAATCTGTTGTCATGTCTCATGGTTATTTAATACATATATATATTATGAAGTGTTATTTAAAGAGTTTGTCCCGAGTGATCTCTTTTCAGGAAAAAGAAGAAGAGAGGTGTAGACACAGAGAGCCTATCTTTAACGCTATATTGGTAAATAGGTTAAGAGAGCCAAGAGGAGAAAGCTAGCCTCGTGAGAACATCCTGATCTCGCGAGCTTTGAAGGTTTTACTCGCAGATCAGTCTGGAGACTCTCCGTTGAAGAAAATTTGGAGCCGTTCACCAAACGAACGTCCAATCAGCGTTGGCTTTGAGGCGGGTTGAGGTGTGACGCAACAAGAAGCGCGACAGTTCAGTCTAAAGAACATGGCGGCTTCAGCCGATGAAACTAGCGTTAGCGTGGCTATCGAGCAAGTTTTATCGGAATTACAGAGTATTTCTTCACTGAAAGAAGAGCAAAACACTGCTCTGGAGGCTTTTCTCAGAGGAAAAGATGTTTTTGCTCTTCTCCCGACTGGTTTCGGCAAGAGTTTGATCTATCAATTGGCTCCTCTTCGTCGTCGCTCTGTTAGTACGTCATATGCTTCGTTGATCTGATTGGTTTATTTGGCCCATCTATCACCAACATAGGCCAATCATCTACCAGTATTTTCACCCCTTCCCAAAATTACTTCAACGAAAGGTTTCCAGATGGATATGCGGAGCAAATCCATCTGGCGGAGTCAGGTTAGGAAAAAGCAGCCTCACTGCAAAAAATGTATATGTTAATAAGTAATTTTTTCTTAAAATAAGTGCATTTTTTCTTGGATTGAGGAGGTAAGTGAGACACTTTGCCAGTGGAACAAGACAATTTACAATTTAATTAAGAAAAAACAATTGCAATGTCTTATTTCAAGTGCATTTTCTCTAATTATCTTATTTTAAGAGTAAAAATACTTATTCCATTGGCAAATCCTCTTACTTACTTACTCAAATTAAGGGTAAATACACTTAATTTAAGTAATCTTTACTTATTTCTAGATTGTTTTGCAGTGCTCGAGGCACGACTACAAGATCTCTGCAGCAAGGGAATCAAAAACAGGGACCTGCAAGGAGTTCTCACCCATGTTAAATCAGTTCAGTGTTTCAGAAAGATGGATCTATCATAAACTTGGTGATTGGAAGGACAGACTTAGAGAAAGACAGAGGACATGAAGAGTCCAGCAGTTTAACAGCCCTCTAATGTCAGTGTGACACCTTTGGTTTGACCACATCATCTTCAATCTGAGGAAGGATCTGTCTGTTGGAGCTTTCTGCAGGTTCAGGAACACCTGGGACTTTTAAATAGACCCAAAAGGCTCCTGAAAGACGGGCTTAAAGAAACCTTCTCCACTCTCATCACGCTCCAACGGTGTCTGTCAGATCTCAGATGGTCACCAGGGAAGGAAAGTTCAACTCTGCAATGAGGTAGAAAGATGAAATATGTAGGATAAACTCAGATATAGAATCCTCCTAAACCGTAAAGTCTTCTGCTGCCATCTAGTGGATTTTTTATTTATTTAATCTGCATGAAGTTTGGAGGCTTCTGGTCTGAATTAAGACTAAATATTCCCTGCAGACTCCCGTCTGTTCCTGCTTAACCTTGTTCAATGTGTGAAACACAAAGTCTGATCAGTATTTGAAGAGAAAATAGCTCCAGGTGGTCGATGGATAGATGGAACGTGGGGAACAGAGGTGGAGGAGGCTGTTTTTCTTCTTCACTTTTCCAAAACAAGCCCGTCCTTCCAGGCGAGGAGCAGCATGGGTGGAGGTGTTCATCTCTCAGCTGGATGATGTTAAAGTTACTCAGAGAATAACAGAGTCAGGAGGTGAAGGACTGACAGTTAAATGACCTCCAAGACCTTCCTGAAAGAGCCAATCAGTTCAGTTATGATCGACCATTGAACATCAGGTTTATCATTCAGTCTTTTCCTGTTTCTCTCATCCTGATCATGGATGGTCAAACGGCCAAACCCCCATTAGGACCTAATCAGGAGTAGAAAAACACTTGCTCTGCATACATCGCTGTCTAACTGAGTGGAATAGGTCCACACTTATGGTACATCCATCTAGACTTGGGCAATAAGAGAACCAGCAGCACACAGGAGAGGTCAACACAGCTATTCAGCACCATTTAAAGGTCCCACAAAGGCCAATTAGATATAATGACCCATACTTGCCCTCC